ATCGAATTTACACTTGAAGTTGAACACAAGGGACAATCGTCGAGTGTCTTTCGATCACTTTAGATTTGCCTTAGTCACCTCCTAGTTTAGTCCCTTGATATCACTGACGTGTGCTATAAGGACAAAACTTTTGTACGATGCGGTTTAATTAATGATTTGGGTAGACACTGTGTGATTCCTTCATTTTTATTATGGGTGTTTTTCAATTGTGTGTCTTTTGTATAATCTTCATAGAAACCTGCTTGATAAATGCTACAAATGACATACATATGTAATTTGCTAGGAGAAAAAAGGATCGTGACCGTTTTGATGATCAACAATCAACAACTATGGTATCGTGAAAGATGCGATATCAAACATTGTCTAATTTCCTCTTTTGATAAAAACAAAAAAACAAACCAAGCAAACAAAACAAAACGATGATAATGTGGTGTTCGAGCTTTTGGAGTCGAGTCGAGAATGGAGAGCTTACCACTATTCTACCGTTACCATACATACGATGAAGTAAAACATTTTGAAATCTTATTCTATATCGAATTCCTTCCAAATATGCAATGCAAAACTGATGCAAAGAAAACCAAAGAGAACAATCATGTGGCCAGTATTTTGAGGAGGTTTTAAGATGCATATTATTGAATAATTATGCTAACGTCGCAAACAAAATTTACAAATCAACGAACACTGCACCCTGCTCCCTACATATAACATTCCTCCAAATAACATAATATACATTACACAAGACTGATCTCTTTCTATTTTGAGTATTTATTCGTTATTTTTCTGTAAGTGAACGCTAAATGTTATAAGAAAGATAACGTGTATTAAGTTTGTGTTTTACATTTCTTTCTGAATTATGTATAACCGTTTCGAAAGCTTATCCTGGGATTAAACATTAATTACTGGCTAGACACTTATCATTCAATAAAAAATAAACAAGTTCATTTGAACATGTTACAGCGCTGTTAAGATAAAATCTTTAAAAAAATTAATAGATAATAAGTAAATCAACATTTCTCGATATTCCAATCACCTGGAAATTAAAAACTAAGCTTTCTCTCCCCTGTTGATTACTTTTATAATACCTATTTCCTGATCAAGCAGAGAGCGGTGAAATCCAGTTATCATATTTTGGCAAATTAAGACATTGTGACGTTTGAAGGTCCCCTTTTGAGGCAAAAACACGCCCACCGTCCTCCCTTTGGTGTATTTCTCATACGGGATTTATGAAATAGTTTGCGTGGGTGTAGAATCATTGGCATACATGGTGCTATTTCCCTCAGTATTTTATGATTTTAACTGTCTGTTTTTTATACCGTGACTGTTTACCAAGTTCAAATTAAGTGCCTGTACCCAGATTAGAGTTTCTCCATATCAGGAGCCTTCATATTCTAGTACACTATTGGCATATGTATCGAACACAGAACATCTTGTTGAAACATTGAAATTAATTTCTCTTCAATTTACTATTAATTGCGAATAAAGCTTTCCTGTCCTAGTAAGCAACACCTTTCTGTGTTACATTGAATTTTCCGTTGGAATTCATCAACATACTAAAATAATTGAATTCATTATCTATTTAATTTTTTTGGTTGTTATATGTCCATTTTTCTACATCTCTCATGTTCCCACCATTTCGAAATATGATAATCTTAGTTTTGGAGACATTGAATTTTAACTTCCATTCTAAGCTGTATACACACTTTGTTATCCGCAAACATAAGTAAAAATAAGTAAAAGGAGACAATACGGAAACCATCACAATACACACAGATAATAATTTGCTACCGACATTGTTGACTTACGTATCAGTGATCCTACGCGTGATTATTTCTGCTACATGCGCATTTATATTAGATTGAAGAACAGATTGGTGTTGTTTTCATTTTGATAGAATACGCTATTCGCTGGAGAAAACTAATAAAATACTAAAATATATATTGACATTTTGTTTTGACTATTTTAACAGGACAATGCTGTTATAAATTTGATATTCAATCAATAAATAACTAAATGATTGCTTGAAGAAGATAACCATACCTCCATCCCTAATTTTCACTGGAATTACAAACTTACAGTAATAAAATGAATGATCTTTATTTCTTGTTGGCTCGGATGGAAGCGCGCTAGGGGTCTTAGTGTGGGAGGAAACCGGAGTACCCGGGGCAAACCCACGTGTTCGGGCAGGTGACCCCATACCTTTTCACATCCTTTCCGGGCGTTACCACTGCGCCACCCGACAACCTGGTATATCAATATCATCTTCCTCTGTGATCCAACATTCCGTTAAACAAATTATATCCTTACTTTGAATTATTCTACAAAATTAAGGTTTGTCTAATTTGCTACACATTTCTACTCCAATGTGCCTTGATATAAACCGAAGGTAGCCTCTCTCCCGCGCATTCCTACCTGTTCACATTGGTATCGGAATTATGGAGAGGTTGATTGGTGTTGGGGGCCACAGTTCAGATGTTGCTGATGTCGCTCGATCGAAGGTTTCTATGTGTGTCGACCCTGTCGCGTTTGATGACCGCGCCATGACTGTAGATATAATATAAAGGTCGTCAATGTTTTAGATGAGTTTTCTGACCAGACACACAGGGCTATGGGAGGGAGCGTTAGTAAAGGCTGACAGCGGTTTGGATTGGCGAGGTACAGCTGAGCTATGAGCATGATCCTGATGTGGAGTATTTCCGTTGAGCAAATTCTAGTCTCAATGTAACATCCGCACCCTTCAAATGTTGCATCACTGACACTATGCGGGGAAATAGTTTCAAACCAAAACGTAGCATTCTTCACTAATAATTTTCATTTTAAAACAACTTTCATACAATCTGGTTTTGAGTTATAATTTTATAATATTTTACAATGTTCTAAACTATTATGCTAGTCCTTCTACATCATTGGTCTTGTGTCTCTTTTCCTCTAATTATCCAGTCTATTGTGAAAATATGTAGTTTTTTTGTTTAGATAACATTTGATGGATATAACTTATGTATAGTTTGGATCAACGTTAATGGTGAATAATTTTCCAAAAAAAGTTTCACTTTCTCTTATAAATGACATGATGATGACGACGTCACTATGAAAATTTGACATGGTCGCCCTCGGTCAATGTTTCTTTCTACCAGGTTAATATAACAACACATTGCTCTCGTCAAAGGTCCATAATTGATACATAATACTCTAAGCAAGTTAGTGGACTTTCAATTCATTTATTTAAGATCGTTTTGGTATCAGCACAATAGTAAGAACACATAGTAAATGTCTACCTATACTTGAAATATTGACCAAGTTTTTGATCACGGATTTTGGATTTGGGTTTTAACCTTAAATCAAAATAAAATGATGAATATAATGAATAACATATATTGATGTGAAGCACGTGCTTTGGTGACGTTTGCTCATCTGAAAGGTTATATAGTTCACGTAACTTAAAAATTGTCGGCACTCAAATTAAGTTCATTATTTGTTTCTGTTGGAGGATTTGGACAAAGTAACTCCTGTATGAACATCATTGTGTTCGATGTACTGTTGAAAGATACATTTTCTTCAGATACATAGGAAAGGAGGATGAATATAATTATGAATGGATGGTTAATCCGGTGGTTGTTCGGTCTGCTTTAAACATACATGTATTTACCTTACAGGAGTTGACTACATGAAATGAATGAATGTTCTTTAGCCCTTGACGTTGCCATACTTTTGAAAATTTTTGACAGTTTGTCTCTTTTAACGTTATCACGGATAGTCAATATTTTCATGGTTTACTAAGTCATCCGGCAATGCACCCTATTACAATGCATATATCACACACGTGTTCCCAGTAAAATTACATCAACAGTCAAAGGTCATATCACGTCATATTTAGTGCTCGTCGTATCACTAACAAGCGCATCGCCTGAAAATTCAGATTTCTGTTTTTGAATAACGAATAATTTGAACACAGCTTACTTAATGTGTTTTCTGAGAAAGGCAATTATTGTTAGATTTAAAAAAAAAAATTGAAAATTCAAAGGAGTACGTTACATGTCAACAACTACAAAACCAGCAGGCATACCATTGAACATCTAAATGATGTAGAGGACTATAGCCTCATTATCAACCGATTCATAATAGCTGATTTCCAAACTGAATAGTACTTACACAATATCAAAAAATCTAATATTCAAGGCATTGTCATTCTTCACAATATCGTTCTGAGAACAAGTGCCCATACATTTATATTGAGATGAAAGTTATTGTCCGTTTATTGAGTTATTAAATATTCACCACTTTTATACGTGACCGTAACAATAGATATTTATCAATCGTGAAAAAGTTGATAACCTACAGCTTCTAGATTGACAGTTTTGTAATTACACTTAGAACTGGACAGATTCTGTATCAGAAATTCTGCATTTACCTTTACCAATTTCATCTTTGCTCAACTATATTTTGATACTATACGCTTTGTATTTTTTACACGTCTAATAACTCATTATTAGTTAATCAGAAATGTCATCGTAAACATTTGCGAAAAATAAATTCCAGACAGGTTGGTCCAACCAAAATTATATTAGTCCTTTACATTACCATGTGTCATGTATCATGTTTTCAGAGACCTCAAAGATAATGTCTATTGCCGGATATTTAATCAAATAACCGGTGATATGATCTGGTGATATATAGGTATCAATTAAACATTCACTGTTGTTGTGTGGATGACTGAACTAAAATACAATGGAAATATCAACACGCTGCCATAGTCATAAATTATAAGTAAGTATCAGAAGATCATGTATCAACATAATGAAAATACAAAATCGATTACCCATAGTTCAACTGAAAATCTGTCATCACGTTGCGGCACGCTTCCGCAACTCTGTCTGGAGTATATATACTTTGAAAAGACGCTTCTAATTGTTGTAGATGCGTTGCTAGTAGCACTGACAAATACTTTTAAATTCTAGAACATGTTGGTCTAGGACAACACAATGAAGCTACATCATGTTTTTTACATGTATATGTACTGTGTGAATTGTTTTGTTACGCCGAGTAAGTATTTTCATGTTGGAAACGGTAACGTGAATGAAGCGACACTTCTGACGACCTCAAGCAGCAGCCATGCTCTCCTCTACTGCGCTAAAGAGTGCGAGGACCCAAGGTGTATGTCATTTAGGTACAGTGCTGACACTAAACTGTGTAGCATATTTTCCAGTGTACTCTCTGTTTCATCTGGGTCCATTAATACCGATGACAAGTATTTCCAGAAGGCAAGTGGAGGTAAGTTGAGAGAAAGTGAAATGTGAGATTCGTTTTTTACTTTATTGAGATAGAGAGGGAAAAAGTCAATGAAGTATTCATTTTGAGAAATTCCACAATAAACATTACTATTAACAATGTATATTAAATTGATAACTAATTCAAAAGTAATTGACCTTGTTACATTTTCATTATTTCTTTCCGTTATCCATTTCGTTGTTTAATTTTTTTTTAATTTTTTCATTCGATATACATTTGATCATTCATAAGCGATATATAAGATATTTAAAAATATTAACTTATCATTAAATACACACACGCAATTTCCCGACAATATCCGACAAACAGGTTTACCAGAATCGTCAATTTACCCATAGATGTTCATTGTTTTCGGTAGAAATTTGCTCATTTGTAATATGTTTTTCGTAGAAAAGACGATTTGTTAGGACCGCTTGTCTACAATTCGTTAAACATCTAAAGTTAGATATAAATAATATTAATCATATACATAGGGAAGAAAAAAAATCAACTGAGTTTTAGACATTGGTATACTTGACAAAGAAAAAAAAGAGAAGATAAGGAGTTGTGTAATTGGCCAATACATGTATTTCTGTTTAAGACAGAAACGTACCGGGACCGCGATGGCTAAGTCGAAGGTACCAGGGTGTGGGAGGAGTCAGTGTTGTCATTTATGCTGTTAAGAGACGTATCCACTACCTACTTGTCCAAGAAACCACGCCCCAAAATGACCGTGGCTTTTAACGGGGCGATTAAGTAGGGAAATGTTTCCATAATTGTTAGAAAAAAGTTAAGAGACTGAGGTAGGGGCTCTATGAATAAGATCAGAAAACTAAATAATTAGAGCATGTGATGCTGATAAAACCTGCAAAATTTAAAAGAAATATGATGAAAAATATGGAAATCTCCAGAGCTGTCAAACATTTTTCTTTGGCTGTACAAAGGGCACACATTGCCAAGTGAATATCACGTTTCAAAACCAATGAAGTGTCCTGTAGGAAGTAAAAAATCGGACCAACGCCTTCTGGGGCTCATAAGAAGCCAAGAAGGCGACTGCGGAGAATCGAAAAGACCAAATGGGGAAGTAATTTAATCTAAACAATTCAATATATGTAAATTTCATAAGTTTCAGTATTGAATAATTTCAAAAGAACGTCAAGTATATGGGTATGAATGAAAACGCAGAATGCAGGTCACAGGGAACTTAAAGTCTCCTAAAAATGTCTATCTACCTGCAGTCTGGTTCACTTGTTCCTCTACTTATTTTCATATTAGAATTTAAAAAATATATGGTATATAGAGAGTACGTAGTCAGTGTCTGAATATATCAGCTGTAGTTTTGATGAGGGTGCAGAAAAACAAAAGTGGCATGCCTTTGGCGAGGTACTTTCGTATTTCTGTAACGAGCCAAAATAAGCAGTTAATATTTTAAGACACTGAACATATGTCTTATTTATCCGGCAACACCGACTGAAATTTTACACTATCGAAACTTAAGCAGTTTGTTAGACCTAATCAGTCTTTGTTTTCCTGACATTTGGTATGAAGCTGAAGTGCTCCTGATGACGTCGTCAAATTAATTTCTGCAATATAGAAATATAGATCCACTGTTCTATAGATATTAAAATCAATTTCATTAATTTTAAAGGTGTTTTAAACAAATGAGATTTAAACGGTTATTCATAATTTGAAACGGATCATTGAAGTTGAATACAACAGAAATTTGTGTGGTAGATAAATACAAGATAGCTTTCATTGAATCAATGAATCCAAATAGCATTATGCGTAAAAATACTTTATGGTGTTTTGTGTCTAATGGAAAGTCCAAATTGACATAGCACTTGTTGTGGAAAATATTGATTGTTCTATGTAGGTCAGCTATACAGTGTCACAAAAATTGGGTATGTCGATACGAAATCAAAATAGTCTGTTATGCTTTTAACGATTTGACAAGTTTCACTATATGTCCAATGATTCATTGGCTGTTCGTTAACCAATTACAATACAATTCCTGATGCTTGATGGCGACAAACATCATTTATATATATAATAAAGAGAAAACTTTCACATACTAGTGAAAAGGGGTTTCTGAACAACGGGATTCATACATTTATAAATATTTATGTTTACATTTATATGTTTACATTGGTAGGAATGTGTACTATTTAATCATAGTTATTCCAAGTGAAACAAAATCAAGAAACAGTCATTTCGTTAACATATGATCCTAACTATGAATGTATTTTGTAATTACATGTCACAGATAGATATATTGATAATAGGTGAATTAATAATGATAGCAATACTGTCTATCAGGTAAAAACGTAGTTCAAAGATCTGCATTATTCATGAAGTGTTTATTCCAGTAAATATCACATATCATCATAATATAATAAATTAAAATGGCACATAACAATAGCTTTTGTCACGTATGATCTATTGATGTTTGGAAGCAGCTTGCTTTCAATAGAGGTCCTAAATAACACAAAAGCGATGCTACAATGATACACCATCATATATCCCTTATGAAGAGTTTTTTGACAGGTTGTCAAAATAATATGTAATTAGTAAACAGTAGTATAGGAATTAACCTTTAAATAATCTATGATTTGGAAAATTTTTTGTTGCGAACGTATTAAATGGTAGAACTGGTCTGTTGTGTAAAAATACAAAAAGCCTGTATAATTGTTACTGTTATGCTTTTGCAGTCATTAATTGTGCTCCGATCAACGTTTACGGGAAATTGGCAAAATGTAATCGTTTCAACTCCGAAAGCTGGACGGTAAGTGTGAGATAAAAGATTACATTATTATTATACTTTTAATTTGTTGAAACCTCAATGTTCGTTGTATTTTACACAAAGTCTGTAGACTGCATCTATCCAACAATTGAATCGAGATAGATTATCAGAATACATGTTATTTTCCATTTTCGTGTCAAATCCATCAATGTGATCCATCTGAATTCTGAATGAGCAAAAAATCCTTCGCAGTACACAAGAATCTTTACACTCTTATTGCCCTTTGTTATTTTTCATACTTAAATTTTGTCACCTTCGGGAAGCATAACCCGTCTCTGACTACCGTGTAAAGTGTACCCGTCTCTGACTACCGTGTAAAGTGTACCCGTCTCTGACTACCGTGTAAAGTGTACCCGTCTCTGACTACCGTGTAAAGTGTACCCGTCTCTGACTACCGTGTAAAGTGTACCCGTCTCTGACTACCGTGTAAAGTGTAACCGTCTCTGACTACCGTGTAAAGTGTACCCGTCTCTGACTACCGTGTAAAGTGTACCCGTCTCTGACTACCGTGTAAAGTGTAACCGTCTCTGACTACCGTGTAAAGTGTACCCGTCTCTGACTACCGTGTAAAGTGTAAGTCAACAAAAATGCTTATAGTAGATCAGTAAGAAAATTCTGTAATAAAAAAATCTCATTTATAACCATTTAACCCAAACCATTTCAAACATTCAAATATTTGCAACATACTAATCTATTTGCTTTTGTTCTGGTGTTCTTTTTATAAAAATGATCATAAATATCTAATCGATGTTGAATTTTCAACTGTACAGATTGTACAAAGGAGGTATGATGGGACGCTGACTTTCGACAAAACATGGAACGAGTTCAAAGCAGGATTTGGAGATCTTGACGGAGAATATTGGATTGGTAGGTTGTAGTCGTTGAAAATCATTTTATTCCTGACTGATAAAATGCTGTAAAGTTACTGAAATATGGGACAATGAGGTTGAGTCTTGAAATTCAAAATTATGTTTTTTAGATATACCACACACAAATTACACAGGCAACTTATATTCGAGCCATAGAGTCTCTGCACAGGTCAACTGGCGCTTATAAGGTCGTGCGAGGTAGTCAAGACTAAACTGGGAACAGACCTGGTGGTAGATGTATGTCTAACTATTCTCCGGATCCACTCATGGAGTGGAATACAGACCAAAAGCCTGTCTGACCAACCTCTGTGGCACACAATTGACAGAAAAGTATTGCGCCATTCAGACTAGTATTACCATTCACCCGTTGCAAATGTATGGTTACGATCATGTGCTTTTGTTTGTATCGTGTTGGCCGTAACTTTGGTTTACACATATGGTAAGAGCTGGTTCCGTATAATGATTCAGCTCTTGCAATTATCTGACAGGCATTATTGCTGTTAAAACACATACCATCATAACAGACAAACATGCACACATGAGAAGAAAACAGATCTTGACTGTGCTCTCGATCACTTTGGATTATTTTCAGTCGTCCCCTAGGCTAGAAGGACAAAACAGCTGTATAATGCTTGTTTGACTCTACTGTATGTAACCTGAAGTAAAATTCAGATAAAATTACAACACTTTCTCTTTCCTGAGAGAAATTGATAGAGATTATCAACTTTAAAACTAACACCGTTGATACGAGATAGCGGAGTTCATCACGTGACTTCTCGGACCCTCGTTTTAACCCACTGTTTTGGTATGATTTCTTAACATGCACAATTATGTCATTAGCCAAAACTTTATTTGCCAGTCATGTTTCAATGTAAAACGACCTTTCGTTTCACACTATACGCGTAACAAAGCGATGTATTTGAACTAATCTGAATCTAACGGTGCATGCTTAAAGACATTGTTTACACTCTCCGAACGACAATCGTATGGATTAGTGTTGGGTCGATCCTTATTTTTATTTTAATTTTTTGGCGTTGTTAATAAAGTAGTTATGTAAACTTTAATATATAATGCTTAAAGACTGCATATAAATCGGACAAGTCAAAGCTTTTAACAAAATCATATTTAAAACAAAGCAGATGAAATGAGGAAAAGGTAGTATTACAAATTTGTTAACTGAGACAACATAGTACCATTAAATACACAAGGAACAAGTAAGTCGAGATCGTCATAGCGAGTATTCTTCGTCAATCTACATATCTCATGATCCTGTCAACAACTCCAAGAAATTCGCAAATACAAAACAAAAACATAGATGAAAATAATGAACCACGTGTAAAGTGTTGTGTTTAGTGGTTACAGAAACTCGTGTACCAATGATGTACCACGTATAATTGATCATGAGTAAGTGTATTTACGATAAGCGTACAAAATAAGCCCCAAAATCAAGGAATTAAACATACACTATGATACTTTTTCTGTTGATTTGACCTTTAAATCATAATTTGTATCCAAGGTAACGAAGCCTTACACCTCCTAACACAGGGAAGCAAACAAATCGCCATGTTTGTTTTGGAAGATTGGAATGGTGTTGAAAAATACGCTCAATACGACAACTTCTACATATCTTCAGAAACAGACAAATACAGGCTAACGGTCTCTGGCTATAGTGGTACAGCAGGTAGGTCACGTGATTTTACACACCTTGCTATTTTAAACTGACATTTTTTACAGCTGATACGTCGCGTGATTTTTTGTCATATCATTATGACCTAATTGAGGGATTTAAACTATTATCGATAAGTTGTTTTATTTGTACATGTAAAATTTACCGGAAAGGAAAGGTAAATTTCAAAGATGTTAAATCTAATCTAGGAAAGTTGGATATGTTGTAGTTTTTACCAACCGACATGATCCTTTGATTATTTGTCTCGGGTTGTTTTCCATTATCAAACAGGTGATTGTTTGTCATTCCATAACGGATATCAATTTTCGACCAAAGACAGCGACAATGATGTTCTTTCTGGCAATTCCTGTTCTCGGGAATACGATGAAACGGGTTTCTGGTTTCATCAATGTCACGCATGTAACATCAACGGAGTATATGTGACGGATAATGGAGCTGAAGAAACACATGCCCTTATTTGGAGAACATTTTCTGAACGATATCAACCAATGAAGAAATCGAGAGTGATGCTTCGATCTGCACTGTAATCAACACCTCGTATACGCCATGACCGACAGTGATATACTTCAAAGTAATACCAATCACCGAGGCAATGACTTTATAAAAACTTGATTTGAACATGTAATTTATGTATTTACATGGAATAGTAAACAGAAATGAATTAAGATGAAATTTATGTAGGTATTTTGTTCTCATGAATGAATTTAGAACCTGACATTAAGTGTATTTTTGTAACCATTTTTCATGGCCTTCTTGAAATAAATTCTCATTCTGGCTCAATCATGCGGAAATAAAGCCACGTTGTACTTCAAATATAAAATCTTATTGTGACTAGACGTTTAAAAGTTTGTTTACAAAGCCAAATTTCTGCACAACATGACCTACTGTAACCGAAGTGAGATTGATACTATTTATTTAACTTCTTTCCTCTTTGTAACCAAGTTTAAACAACTCATCCTTTGTTGACATATAAATGTATCGTAACTTGATACCATTTACAAAACATGGAACCAGTTGGTGTGGTCTTTTCCGAATTTTAATTCGATCAATCGAACGAACGTAAATACCATTGACATTGTATGCATACGAAGTTAACTATATATTCTGATTCTATATTATCACATGGACAGATAAGGTAACTTCTTTCAGAAACATCAAGAAACATGTCAACATACTTTTAATGCAAACTCAAATTCAATAGAACTAGGGCAAAATATGAACAAACGAAAGATCTAAACAGAGAGAGACGTCTGAAAATAAACAAGGCGAATAACACTTAATGTTCCTAAAGAGTATGCGTCTTCTGCTTTATCGACGACACCCGCCTTGTAAACCTTGTGATCAGTTCAATTAAGTAATTGTACGTTCTCAAATAAGAGCAAAGTGTACAACAACAGAACCAACAGGCAAACTAACGAGCTTCAAACACGTCGAGCTTGATATCGCACAAAGAAATAGAATATTTCTCAATGAGATCACTATGATGAACATAAAACTTCACCATAATTTTCATTAACCTGCATCTTTTGAAAACCTGTGTTACGGGTTTTCCCGTCAGTTAACGACCTCTCACACAAAAACATGTCATTACCATAGGTTGGGGATGCAGGGAAGTGCGACCAAGAAATGGAAAATTACCACTATTGGTTTTAATGTAGGAAAAGATCGAAGTAAGCGGCTGATGTAGACGAATCTGTCGTGTCCTTGATTTCCAGTTCTGGTGGATAAATTCAACCTCGTATGAAAACAAAAAGAAAGTCTTTCATTTTAAAAAGGATATGATGGTATATAGAGTGTAAAAATCAAATGCTCTTATCAAATAAATGTTTTAGAATAGGGTGTTGAAGATTGGTCAAAGGCTCTGCAGATTTTTTAAAATCCACTTATAATTAACTCCACTGCTTGAGTAAACAGTAGCACAAAAAGGCTAACATAGATTTGAAAGTGCTAAGAATGCGGGTACATGTAAGTAGGTTTGACAAAGGACAATGTCTTAAATTACGAGGAGATTTTTTCTATATCTTCAAGTTTCTGATGAGAAATCGTGTAAAGGTAGCCACATTTTTATGTTGGAGATAACAGACATGATCGATGTTTTGACACACCTATTACTAAGACGGGATGAGAGAGTCTTGTTGCAAAATATATCAATTTCTATTTCGCGTCTGTTAAAACCAAGAAATGATATGTATTTGAAGCTAGTCTGTGTTAGTCAGTGCACCAACATAACTACAATACATGCACAGAACAGACTCCTCATCCCACAAAACTTGCCCATCTTTTCGATTCACACCAAGCCTTCATATTTTAATAACAAGTATTTAGTTGAGGTGGATTGAAATCGATAATTACCATGGATACTGAAAATTCTTATTTTCTTACTTTGTCCTTTACGAATATTCACCTAAAATTTTCGTTCATTATGTCATACGTTTGATTTTGTTTAGGTTTACATGTTTCAAACTTACTTATCGAATTTCGGACATCTAAGTGAAGGACGAGGGTGTTGAAATATTGTTCACAGTTAGCCAGTGCGCCTATACATGGATAGCCAGTGCTCCTACACATTGATAGCCAGTGTGCCTAAACATTGATAGCCAGTGAGCCTACTTATTGATAGCCAGTGAGCCTACACATTGATAGCCAGTGCGCCTACACATTGATAACCAGTGAACCTACACAGTGATAGCTAGTGCGATAGCCAGTGCGCCTACACATTAATAGCTAGTGCGCCTACACATTGATAACCAGTGCGATAGCAAGTGCGCCTACATATTGATAGCCAGTGCGTCTACACATTGATAGCCAGTGCAATAGCCAGTGCGCCTACACATTGATAGCCAGTGAGCATACACATTGATAGCCAGTGCGCCTACACATTGATAGCCAGTTAGCCTACACATTGATAGCAAGTTCGCCTACACATTGATAGCCAGTGCGCCTACACATTAATAGCCAGTGCAATAGCCAGTGCGCCTACACATTGATAACCAGTGCGCCTACACATTGATAGCCAGTGAGCCTACACATTGCTAGCCAGTGCAATAGCCAGTGCGCCTACACATTGATAGCCAGTGCAATAGCCAGTGCTCCTACACATTGATAACCAGTGCACCTACACATTGATAGCCAGTGCGCCTACACATTGATAACCAGTGCGATAGCAAGTGCGCCTACATATTGATAGCCAGTGCGTCTAAACATTGATAGCCAGTGCAATAGCCAGTGCGCCTACACATTGATAGCCAGTGAGCATACACATTGATAGCCAGTGCGCCTACACATTGATAGCCAGTTAGCCTACACATTGATAGCAAGTTCGCTTACACATTAATAGCCAGTGCAATAGCCACTGCGCATACACATTGATAGCCAGTGCAATAGCCAGTGCGCCTACATATTGATAGCCAGTGCGTCTACACATTGATAGCCAGTGCAATAGCCAGTGCGCCTACACATTGATAGCCAGTGCAATAGCCAGTGCGCATACACATTAATAGCCAGTGCAATAGCCAGTCCGCCTACACATTGATAGCCAGTGATTCGACGCATTGATAGCCAGTGCGCTTACACATTGATAGCCAGTGCGCCTACACATTAATAGCCAGTGCAATAGCCAGTGCGCCTACACATTGATAACCAGTGCGCCTACACATTGATAGCCAGTGAGCCTACACATTGCTAGCCAGTGCAATAGCCAGTGCGCCTACACATTGATAGCCAGTGCAATAGCCAGTGCGCCTACACATTGATAATCAGTGCACCTACACATTGATAGCCAGTGCGCCTACACATTGATAGCCAGTTAGCCTACACATTGATAGCAAGTTCGCCTACACATTGATAGCCAGTGCAATAGCCACTGCGCATACACATTGATAGCCAGTGCAATAGCCAGTGCGCCTACACATTGATAGCCAGTGAGTCGACACATTGATAGCCAGTGCAATAGCCAGTGCGCCTACACATTGATAACCAGTGCGCCTACACATTAATAGCCAGTGCAATAGCCAGTGCGCCTACACATTGATAACCAGTGCGTCTACACATTGATAGCCAGTGCGCCTACACATTGATAGCCAGTGCAATAGCCAGTGCGCCTACACATTGATAGCCAGTGCAATAGCCAGTGCGCCTACACATTGATAACCAGTGCACCTACACATTGATAGCCAGGGAGTCTACACATTGATAGCCAGTGTGCCTTCACATTGATAGCCAGTGCGCCTACACATTGATAGCCAGTGCGCCTACATACTGATAGCCAGTGCGCCTACACATTGATAGCCAGTGCAATAGCCAGTGCGCATACACATTGATAACCAGTGAGCCGACACATTGATAGCCAGTGCGCCTACACATTGATAGCCAGTGAGCCGACACATTGATAGCCAGTGAGCCTACACATTGATAGCCAGTGAGCCTACACATTGAAAGCCAGTAAGCCTACACATTGATAGCCAGTGAGCCTATATATTGATAGCCAGTGCGCCTACACATTGATAACCAGTGCGCCTACACATTGATAGCCAGTGCAATAGCCAGTGAGCCTACACATTGATAGCCAGTGAACCTACACATTGATAGCCAGTGCGCCTATATATTGATAGCCAGGGCGCCTCCACATTAATAGCCAGTGAGCCTACACATTGATAGCCAGTGTACCTTCACATTGATAGCCAGTGCGCCTACACATTGATAGCCAGTGCGCCTACATATTGATAGCCAGTGCGCCTACACATTGATAGCCAGTGCAATAGCCAGTGCGCATACACATTGATAGCCAGTGAGCCGACACATTGATAGCCAATGCGCCTACACATTGATAGCCAGTGCGCCTACACATTGATAGCCAGTGCAATAGCCAGTGCGCATACACATTGATAGCCAGTGAGCCGACACATTGATAGCCAATGCGCCTACACATTGATAGCCAGTGCGCCTACACATTGATAGCCAGTGCAATAGCCAGTGCGCCTACACATTGATAGCCAGTGAGCCGACACATTGATAGCCAGTGCAATAGCCAGTGCGCCTACACATTGATAGCCAGTGAGCCTACACATTGATAGCCAGTGCGCCTACACATTGAAAGCCAGTGAGCCTACACATTGATAGCCAGTGAGTCTACACATTGATAGCCAATGCGCCTACACATTGATAGCCAGTGCAATAGCCAGTGCGCCTACACATTGATAGCCAGTGAGTCTACACATTGATAACCAGTGAGCCTACACATTGATAGCCAGTGAAACTCCAGGCAATAGTTTTAATACTTAATTATTCATATCCGGTTGTTATATCCGTTGATAATGCCTGTATGCAATTCGCTTAATTTCGTTTTCATCTAAGATCTATAAAGTTCGTTTTCAAAATTTGTAATATTTTTTTCTTGTGCTCTAATCTGAACAAACAAATTGTCCCGGAATTGTTAGATAGTAGTTCTAAAAATTTTCTTTTTAACTGATGTTTAAAATTGGTAAGCAATAAGTGAATAGGTACTTATCAATAAACTTGTTGCATTTTC